TAAGTTATCTTTGTTTCGAAACAACGTGTTAAAAATTGCTGACATAAATCAAATTTATGAAACCTAATTGCAGCTGTTTTCGAAAAATAATATTTGATAGCTTTAATGTTTATCTATAATTTAGAAATAAGATTTTAATTTTAAACTAATTTAGTACAACTAAGGTCAGTTAATTTTGCTTGTGAAATCTCAATAATTCCTGTATTTCCACACTTCAGTATAACTATTACATTAGCAGCTGAGGTTTACTAAATTTAATTATTAATCCAAAGGGGCAATTTGCCGAGAAGGACTATTAATTTCGTTTTGGCATTTTGCGTTGGTTGACTATAAATGTCGGTTCACCTTTCAAATTGTTGCCACCAAATATTACAGCCCTGTATTATATTTGAAGAAATTAAATAATGAAGAATCTGCATAAATGTGTGTATGTTTCTCGCACTGTGATAAAACGACGGTACCTAGAGCCATGAAATTTTGCATAACGTAATTCTCCACCGAATATGGGCATCTGGAGGCCCAAATTTGGAATTTGAAATTTGCTTTATTATCTGTTTCATATTTTGTAAAGCTTTAACGAAGTTTTGATCAAGAAACTCAACGATTTCAAAGCGACCAATGGCAATACTGTACGGGGAAAATAAAATATCTCCAGCGCGCGAGACTGTGTATCGGAAATTCTAAAGATACGCTCATTTAAAATTATGTTGCGATATTGCTGTTGAACTGAATTTGGGGTTGAGTGCGAAGAACATGATATTTAATAAATAAAGGTAACACAAAAAACCTTTAAAAAAATCCTTTTTGGGGCGTAATGTAAAATCTAAAACTTTCAGATTTTATTATTCTTTTCTTTTTTTATGTTGTAATGTTTCTAACTACTTTATATATAATTAAGACACAATAACACGCCGAATAAATACTAATTCAGAAGACAAACCACAAAAATCAGCGTTATATTTACAAAATTTCCACAGGACTAGTTTCGATGGTTTTACCGAACCACCATCCTCAGCTGCAAAACCGCAAATGAACAAGATAATTAATCTTGTTCTTCTGTAATATCTTGTTCATTTGCGGTTTTGCAGCTGAGGATGGTGGTTCGGTCGGTAAAACCATCGAAACTAGTCCTGTGGAAATTTTGTAAATATAACGCTGATTTTTGTTGTTTGTCTTCTGAATTAGTACTTTGTATATGCTTAATTTCGTAGAAAGCTTGATGAACTGTGTAGCGACTTGTCGCTGAATCCAAGTGTATAAATGAAAAGTCCAGAGAAGGGTTAAATTCACTCTTTATTATCTCAAACGAAGAACACAGATGGCCGCTTTCTTGGGCGTACAGGAAAGCCTCTACTTGCGCTTTAACTCAAGATAATGAAATAAGAAACTAATCTAAGGCTAAACTAAACTGAACTTAGCCGAAGATGTCCTAAATTATTTGGCCGCTTATTAAATTAACAGGGAATATCAGCAGGTACGTACGTACAATACAGCCGAGCGTAGTTAGCTTTAAACAACGAAGTAGCCTGACGACAAAGACGCATCACGAAGGCCTCCTAAGCTGTTCTGCTGAAGTAAAAGAAACCTTCTTTTAAATAGTCTTTTCTACTTCATTTACATGTAAACGATATTTAAAACTTATTCGGGTAGGAAGTAGTAGGTGGAAAACGAGATTAGACAGAAAAACATATTTAAAAATTGAAATAACGGTTAAAAAACTTACAATAACCTCTACAGTGTTAAATGGTTATTAAACTATTATTCCAAGGTTTACATTTCATGTACCTGTTTCCAATATGAAATGTAGACATTCCAACTGAAGATCAATATTTTAATATATTTCTTTTCAAATAAGAATTTAGAATACTCCAATGGCAACAGAACCTATTAAAATTTTTCGAGTTTTGTAAGAAATTATACGGATGTAATAACAAAAATGAATTCTTTTAGCATTTACAGATGTACTTTGAAAGGAAAGATACTGATCGAACACAGAAGGGAAATTCTAAAAAATGATTAGAATTTAAAGGAAACAGACGAATCAATTAAGTTTTACGTTTTAAAAAATTGTAAGGTTTATGCTAAGTTTTTAACAGTTATCTTTAGTTAAAGCTACTTTCCTATCCCTCTTAATTTTATCTTACAATTTCCTACCAGAATGTGTTTTTAGAATCGCGGTTAATGCAAATGTGTAAGAGTGGTATTTAAGTCGAAGTTCCACCGACTTCGTTAGAGAGCCAGAGATTGTGACTAGCGCGTTCGCCTTTTGGCTAAACTCTCTCTAAGCTATTAATATGCTCGGCCGTATTTCAGGCCCTTGATAGCTTCGCCAGTCTGGTTGATATTTAGGCCCCGTTCAGACGAGGGCGTAAAGTGCATAAGTGGTAAAGCCGAGCTCCGTTGCCGAGGCAACCACTCTGTGCAACGTCACAAAATCTGGTTTAGGGCTCATGACATAGGGTTCAATGTTTTGAACTTTACGCCAAGTTTGGGATGAGCGTCGACCAATCAGAGCGAAGCTAAAACGAAGCGGCGTTCTACAGAAGATTTCGCTGTCACAAAACAAGCAGAGCGAACGCGGGAAAGTTGTAGACACATCCACGCATGCGCGAATTTAGCTTCTCTCATTGGCCACGGCTTACACCCCAAGTGTGAACGGAATTCCCGTATTTTATGCCCTTATGACTACGCCTCTATGCCCTTTACGCCGCCGTCTGAACAGGGGCCAGCTACTTAGAATTTTGTGGAGACTTTGCTGTACGCCGTGAGATAAGAGCCGACTGTTCCATTCTTATTTTGAAAAATAAAGGGTAATTAACCCTTCTTGAGTTTTAGGTATCTGTTTCCGAACTAAAGCGATTATTCGCTTACCTGTTCGCGAGGTTCCTACAGATTTGGCTGTTAGATAACAGGTTGAAACCCCACAAAATGATGGCTTTTTGTGTTATAAAATAAAATTAATATATCGTTCATCGCTCATATTTACTTGCCTTTCAAATAAGCTGTAATTCTTCTTGCGTTCAAATTTTCGAAGGAGGGGAGGAAGTTCCTTGAAACTTCTCAAAATCCGCCAAGACTCTGAACTTAGCTATTACTTTTAAATCCTTCTGTGTTTATCAGTAAATACACCGTAATCATAAAAATCTTCCCCGATATATGAACCCCCAGCGGAATATTCGCTCACAACAGTCGAAATGAAATTTCAGAGCTTCTTAGTTGAAGATACACGCTCGAGATGGGAGGATTTTAAACACTACGGCTCTCACTGTTACGGTTGCAATGAAAAAATTTCAAAATTTTCGAATGGCAACGTCCACTTTTTTTCCTGCGCAAATCGATCAATGCTTAAAAAAACGATAAATAACTTTGGTACATGACCTGTATGACGAACATGTGCACAAGTACTTCCATATTATTGGATACAACTTATTCCATTCTTCACGCATTTAAAAGTGAAATATAATATATTGATAAAGGCCGTTAATGGTCGATTGCCTCTTACTAAGTAAGACATAGACATGTATGACGAAGGTTGCCGACGGAAAACGTTTGCAAAGAAGATTTCTGTAAAGGATCAATGACAATATAAGAGAGAGAAAGGAGAGAGAAAACACTTTTATTGAAATTACAATGTTACCAACGTGCCCATTTTCGCAAATGATAAGGCACTGCATCCGGAAAATTGTTGACAACACTAACGAACGTGACATTGCAGGAGGAATCTACGTATATATCTTCACTTTTTGTGGCATCTTTTAGTTCTCATAAATCTCGTAGATTTGCTGTGTACAGATTTCAGATCAAACATTTCAGATAACCAGACTTATTTCAAACTTATGGTTTTTTTAAATGTCAAATTGCGATCACGATGTATTCATATTTTCCAGCCTAACATTCATCCATCCTTTCCTGTGGATGGCGGCTGTTTTCAATGGTTTTCCTGCGACAGCCTCTAATATCCCCCTCCTCTTGTTAGGAGTGCATTTCCAACCCTGCTATGGGATTCCGAGTCGTCTAAGTATACTCTTTCTTCCTAGAAGTTTGTTTCTCTAGTTTTGAATCACCCTGTATATACTTTTGGTACTGCCGATATCAATGAAAAAGGGAGGTACGAAACTAGATACTATAGCAGTCCCGTATATAAAATTTCAACGTTCTACGGCTAATTGTTTTTTAGTTATGCGAGATACATACCTACGTACGTACAAATGTAGCGGAAAAAAAATCCATCTCGAATCCATTTTATTCCTTTATTCCTTCCGTACGTACAGACGTCACTCAAAAAGTAGTCAAAATGGGTATTTCCATTGAAATATGATACCCGAAACTTTTCGCAATTACAGTACTTCCTTTATCTCGTACAAGGAGTGAGTACAAAAAAAGTGTATACAGAGAAAAAGCCATAGAAGAAAAGTGCGTAGACACATCGATACTGCATTTTTTAGTAAACAAAAATGAATTATTAAAAACATGCATTATTTAATATGAACAAATTTAAGTACTTTAAACAGATTTATTTGTTTGGTTTGGTTTATTTAATTACGGCGAAGCCTGCCTAAGGAGAGGGATGCCTTCGTGGAGGAATTTCTAAAGGAAACTGGCTCGTGTACACGTGACACATGGGGAAAACTACGAAAATTCCCATTCAGCCAGCACATTCTCCGGGATTCGAACCTCGGACCGAGCTATCAGTATTCAGCAATTTTACCGCTATTAGTCTGCATTTTATGCACTAAAATTTGTTTTTGGAGTTGTTTTTGTTTGGAATCAATTATCTGTTTTTGCATGTGATTACGTTCTCGATTTATCTGGTTTCAAATGTGAAGTTGATTACCCAAACTATGCGAGGTATTGTGGTAATTGCAACTGAATCTGTGAATATTTGCAAAACAGAAGCTTTGATATATTTGCAATTGTGCAGATTTCTGATGCCGTATGTGACCATGTTGCTTAAAATGCATGTTATAAAATATTACTGATACTCTCTCATTTCTTTACAGGGATCAGATCTACCATCTGTTAACAAGTGCACGATCACAGGTCTTCAATCTCACCTCTCTCTTTGTGGACGAGAGGATGGGAGACATAGAACCCAATATAGCTCAACTTCCGACACAACCTCCATACTACCACAATGGGTACAGAAGCAGCCAGTCTCCTCCAAATGGGCGGTATTCAGCAGGAGGCTACAATAACTGGAATACACCCGCAAGCGAGAGAGCTGTTTCTTATCCTGCTCAGCCACAGAACCGCTGGAGACAAGTTGGGCAACCACAAGGCAATAATGGACAACCTCTCACTGGTGTGTCTAAAACAACTTACACATCAAACGTCAGGCGGCAGTCGAGAGCCCGCGATTTAGCAGATCAACGAAGAGATTTTGATTCGAGAAATCCGACTGGTATGCCAGGATATAACTATGACACACCCACAAGACAAAACACGAATCCAAACGGTGGTGAAGATCATTATGATTACCGAGGTGTCACTCAACTGAATAGGCTGGAACCTCCTAAGAATCTGGTGTATGAGAACCCTCAACGATTAGAGAGCAGAAATTTCAGCGGATATTACGAACAGGAGGCGCAAAGATATCAGGAACCATATCAGATACAGCCGCCGTATACGCAGCATAACATAAAAGGCCAACCTGCATATCCTAGAATAACAACGAGACCTCAGCCAAATGGTAATTGGAAGGGTTCACCATTACAGATGGATTATAATAAGGCTTCAACCAGTGCAACGCCTTACTCTGGTTCTTCAAGCTCTAGATTTGTTGCAAATAGAAGAGAGAGGTAAGCGTCTTTCGTAATAATTCATGACCACATTTTATTCGCGCATTATTTCTGTGCCACCATTTCATTCATAAGAGACAGGCAGAAATAAAGGTGCCATTTTATTCAATAATATTTTCAATATTCTAAAATAATAGAGGGACCGGAAAGTAATGTCGTTTCTGCGCATGTCGACAACAACATGCTAAGGGCAGAAGTGGAAGCAAATGCATGTCAAACACTCTTAACCAACCTTGGTCGACCATCCAAGTACACATTTAAAGCAGAATGGAAAAAATAAGCAAAGCAGGTGTTTGAGTCCCCCATAATCTCTCCGAAAAGAACAAAGCCAACCGATCCATCCTATGCAACGTATTGCTTCAACGGCACCATACAGAACCGTTTTTGGATCATTTGATTACTGGAGACAAAAAATGGGTTCTATATGATAATCCAAAACGCAGAGGGCAGTTTTAATAGGGGTTATAAATTGTTTACATCCCGAAAAGACGCTTCTGGGTGTTTGATGAAGTATTCGCGGAATTGTTCATTTTGAATTGCTGAAACCTGGACAAACTGTTAATGCAGACCTTTATTGTGAGCAATTGGAGGGAGGGAACCAATCTTTAATCGAAAAATATCAATTGTCAAGAGAAAAGGCATCATTCTGCAACACGACAATGGAAGACCGCACTGTGCAAGACAAACACTGGAAAAAATTAATGAATTGGGGTAGGAGATACTACCATACTCACCCACCATACTCGGCAGATATCGCAGCATTGGATTTACATTTATTCGGATACCTACAACATTTTCTTAGTGGCAAAAAATTTGAAATTTTGGATGATGTCCAAAATGTCCTCTCGAGATATTTTACTCAAAAACCAATTGATTTTTATCGGTCTGGGATTGAAAATCTGCACATTAGATGGCAAAAGATTGTTGATAACGAGGGTGATTATATTATTGATAAAAAATAAAAACTTGTTAAAAATGTAGTCGTTTGAATTTAATGTAAGAAAGCGACATTACTTTTCGGTCCCCGTATTAATTAGTTGATTTGGAGTATTCGTTTTCCGACTGCTTTCGAACTTTGAAAGAATTTATTAGCTTTACTGAATTCATTAGCCAGTCATTTGGAAGCACAATGATTGAAGGCTAATGAATTTGAAAGAATTCATTAGCCAGTCAAGCATTTAACATATTATCAATACTTAACAGATTTAATATCAAATCAAATCAAATATTTAGCAGATTTAATATTTGATTTAAATAGCGCTTTTTTCATAATTGCTTATGCCAAGCAAATGGGTTGGCAAATGTTTTTTGGAAAGGGAGAGTAAAAATTTAACCCTTGGCAGGCCAACTAGCAAACATGAAGATATGAATGTGTAATTTTACCATAGAACAAAAAAAAATTCATTTTTTATTATGAAGTAAATAATATTTGTACATAGTATTTATAAACATTTTATTAATATTTACAAAAACAAACCGAATAAAAGATTGCCATTTACATATTAAAAAAAAAATATTATTAAACACATTAACATTTCTAATGCGAAGAATGTAATTTTTTTTCTGGGATAATATTTCATCATACTCAAGTTCGAAATCAGAACAATTGTTTATGATGATGAAAGGAATTAAGTGCTAATTTTACCTCTATATTTCATTTTTTGTATTAACTATTCAGTTTTAAAAAGCAAAAAAGAAACTTAAAAGCATTAAAAATTGTAAAATTTGTAAAATTTAATTGTGCTTGTAACAGTAGAATTTTCAACTTAGCTTTTTTCTACTTTCTGATCTTTTTAATATTAAATTTTTAACGTAAATCCACTAATACATCTTTATAAAAGACGTTAATTGCAATATAAATTTAAAATTCTATTAATTGCTATTTGTAGCATCAATTTTTACTATTTTATAGATTTTTAATTCTAAAACTTCCTTCCGACTTCTCCGGTAAATATTTATTAGTTGATACAAAAATATGAAATATAGAGGGAAACTATTACTTTTCCTTGCGATGAGACATCATTACGCGAAAATTCAGTTAAAAGTTATACGGTTAAAAGGTTATCGGCCAAGCTTATCATCCTGCGATGATTTGCAGGTGCTTTATTTTTTACCACGATATTTTATATAACGGTCTTTTAAAAACTGCAAAGTTTTTGCACTGCTTTCACGATGTCACTATCACGATGTTTTAAAACTGTTGTTTTCTCGTTTCACTCCTTTCTCCTACGCCTACCAGCGGCCGAGCGGTAACGTCGCTGAACACTGGTAGTTCGGTCCGAGGTTCGAATCCCGCGAACGGGCTGGCTGCATGGGTGTTTTCGTGGTTTTCCCCATGTGTAACGTGTATACGAGCCAGTTTCGCTTAAGAAGTCCTCCACGAAGGCATCCATCCCTTAAGGCAGATAGCCCTCGAGTGCTTTGTCGTAATCTAATAAACCGAAACCGAAACCTTTCTCCTACAATGTCTTGTACGATGATGTTTTCCTCTTACTTTGGGGCCCACCAGCGGCCGAGCGCTAACGTCGCTGAACGCTGGTAGTTCGGTCCCAGGTTCAAATCCCGCGAACGGGCTGGCTGCATGGGTGTTTTCGTGGTTTTCCCCATGTGTAACGTGTATACGAGCCAGTTTCCCTTAAAAAGTCCTCCACAAAGGCATCCCTCCCTTAAGGCAGATAGCCCTCGAGTGCTTTGCCTTAATCTAATAAACCAAACCAAACCATCCTCTTCGTTTTTTCGGCAACGTTTTTGTCCGCGATGCTTCTGCCGCTTTACTTTCAGCGGAAACTGTTTCTAAACCCTTTCTAAAGTACTTTAATGTAAAGGAATTTAATTCAGATAACAAAATTTTGGGTGATTGATTCTTGATTTCACTTGCAAGAAGCTCATATTTCACTTGTGCTGGTCAATAAAAAAGGAAACAATCACCTTTAAGTAGTATCGTAAGTTCAGTTTAAGCTAATCTTTGTGTAATGTGTCTCTTTCGCAGACCTTATATTAAGTCTTGTGTTTTCGTGCTTCTAGAGCGAGGATGTGAAAAAGAGCATCGAGATAATAAGATGTAAGCTAAGAAGGATAATTGATTAGCGAATGAAATGAAAACCTACAATTCTTTTGCTTTGCCTAAACGAGTATTGAGTTGAAAAATTATAGGATGAAATGAATAGAAGTAGAAACTATCCAGCATGAGTTAATAATTAAAAAAATATATATTGTTTTATTATATTTTGCGAAACAATTGTAAAGACATTATGCTATTTCGAAGCAAGAGAGATGAAAAATGAGCAATGCGCTTGCCAGGACTCGAACCCTTGACTTCTCGAATACACGCCGAGCGTGCTGACTATTACACCACAAAGGAATGCTAAGAAGGCGGGGAGAAATCCTTGCTACTCCACCTTTTAAAGGGCCAGTGGGGATTAGGGGAACCAATCACCAAATCCTGGTAGTGGAGAGTCATCATCCACTACCTTTTTTAAACGGACTCATACACCTTAAAACCCGTAAGATCTTCGAATATCGGATTGTTGCAAGAATTGGGATAACTTATTTATAAAAGCAATTACTTCCAACGTTTTACAGCTGACTACATAATATAGCTGCTTTCTGAAATAGTCATCAGAAAGTTTGTGTTGCCACACATATTTTTATAATTTAATCCGCTTAAATTTTTCGTCATGTTTCCACCTTGCGCGCACATTTTACAACATTCTGTTGCATAATTTAATTTCATATTTAATATATAGCTTTTAAAACATTTGGAAACTACTGTGAAACAAAAATTCTAAGAATTTCATGTTAAATTTGTATTTTATTTGGAGTCGAGTTTATAAAATGTGTTTTATTAACAAAATCTGTAATGTTTTCGTCCATAATTTTTTTTAATATTAAAAAAAAATTAATATTATTCAGATTTTTGGTTCAGTTAGAAAATAGTGCCCATATAAAGAATTCTATTAAATTTTAAGTATGTACCATTAGCCATTTTTAAAATATCATGCGCGAGGTGGAAACACGACGAAAAATTTTGTCACAAAGCGGATTAAATTACAAAAATATTTGCGGCAACACAAACTTTCTGGTTACTAGTTTCCAAAGCAGCTATATTATGTAGTCAGCTGTAAAAAGTTGGAAGTCATTGCTTTTAAAATAAATAAAATATCCCAGTTCTTATAACAGTCACATATTCGAAGATCATAAGGGCTTTAAGGTGTATGAGCCCCCTTAATTCGTGCGCAACTGTAGAGTCATGTAGAAATTTTTTTAAATCAGGAAATTGAAGAAATGTACAGTGCTCTCGCCGGGACTCGAACCACGGACCTCTCGAATACGCGCCGAGTGTGCTGATCATTACACCACGAAGGTATGCTAAGAAGGCGGGAGAAATACCTTAGACAGTTAGCCATTATTTATTGATTTTGTGACGTGTTTATATTACTTAAGCAGCTATTTTAAGTTACGAATCTTTACTGTCACTTCTCTTTCTCCGTTTACCTACCAGAATGCAAATTTAGCTCGCGTGTATATATTCGTTTAAGATTGTTTTAGTCAGGGCGTGTTCAGCCTGCTGAAAGCCACGTTATTGATTGCTATACGATAAGCATTCTTGTCTACGGCGTTGCTTTATTCTTGCTAATAGTACTGTCACGACGGTGAGCTCATTTAAAAGCCAACCCGCGCGTTTAAATATATCTCTGTAGCTTTTGGCTGGGTAAAACTTAGAATTAGTTGTAACTTAAAATTCTACTATGAACTCACACCATATATGCTGGTTGGTTTGTAAGCACTGGGAGTGTCGTCTGTTCATCTGACTGAGTTTTTAATAAAAGGGTCTTTTACACCCTTCGTGCGTTTCTCTTTACTTATCTAGACATAGCGATAAAAGTTACGTCTGCGTAGGCGTCTTGACTTAGTGTATGTTGCCAAAACAAGTTTGCTTTTTTGTAAATAAATGTAATTTTCACATAAAGTCTGTGCATAAAAATGCTTTCGAACCGTCG